TAACATCCGATTAAATATAAAAAGTAATAATGTCGCCCGATATTAGTGTCGCCGGTAATTACAAAAAACAACCAAAGTTTTACAATCTACCAAGTAGCAAAGTGTGACAACGTATGCAAATAAAACTCATACCTACATACCATCATCTTCGTTCCCATCGTTTCCTCGATTATTTTGGGATTGAAAAAACGAATAAAGCTCATCCCTACATGTCGGGTCGTTGAGCATTGCACGAAGATTTTCCAACTACATAATTAACAACAACATATACAAACTTATAAGTTAAATTATCAAACGTAAATAAAAACTATCAAAATACATTGTTATTTTTAAACTAAGACAAAAAACCAAATTACGTTGTTAGTTTTTGCACTTGGGACAAAAACCTAATTACCAAAGTTTTTAGCAAATAATCACCACAAAACCAAAATTACCAAATCAACATGCATTTTACGATGCTAAAGTAGATTGCTATTTTTAAACTAAGACAAAAAACCAAAATACGTTGTTATTTTTTGCACTTGGGACAAAAACCTAATTACCAAAGTTTTTAGCAAATAATCACCATAAAACCAAAATTACCAAATCAACATGCATTTTACGATGCTAAAGTAGATTACTATTTTTAAACTAAGACAAAAAAACCAAAGTAAGTTGTTATTTTTTGCACTTGGGACAAAAACCTAATTACCAAAGTTTTTAGCAAATAATCACCACAAAACCAAAATTACCAAATCAACATGCATTTTACGATGCTAAAGTAGATTATTATTTTTAAACTAAGACAAAAAACCAAAGTACGTTGTTATTTTTTGCACTTGGGACAAAAACCTAATTACCAAACTTTTTAGCAAATAATCACCACAAAACCAAAGTAGATTGTTTTACCTGTGGTGGTTGTGATGGTTGTGGTGATGGTTGTGAAGGCTGTGGAATCGGCGGGAGAGCAGAAGGTTTACGGCCAATGCCTCTAATATGGCCACGTCGCTCTCCTAATACTTTCTCAAATGCAGCTCTTTCTTGAGCGAGTGTTAACTCACTTTCACCTTGAGTTTGTTCTAAGAGCTCTTCAACTAACCGATTTTGTAACTCCCAAAAGTGAGTAACAATTAAGTATAAATAAACATTTAATTATCTGATAAAATTATAATTAAATACTTACATATTGTTGTTCCGCCTCAGCAGTAACAAATACACCATTGTTATCGTTATGAGCTTTGCGAAACGTTTCCACTCTCTTAAGGTTCTGTTTAACTTTAAACATTAGATTATATTTGAAAGAAATAATTACATGTATCGTACGTTACCTTCTTATAGCAAGTACTGCTATACGAGCTCGACCCACCATGATTCACATTTGTTTGCATTTCACGGATTTTTTTGTTCCTTTCTGAAGCAATTATGTGTTCGTCTGTTTGGAAATACTCAACTGCTTTCTTCCAGTTATCAACTTCCATACCCTTTGGAGGGTTGGCTAATGCTCCCGGGATATCTTCATACCCTCCGACTAACATAAAATATTCTTTTGCGTCAACTTTACGTTATCGATAACCTTTTAACAAAGCTGCTTGAAAACTCTCTGTCAACATATTAGCTTGTACATCCTGGTACATCTGATCCAAATCAAACTTTGTCTACAAAAAAAAAAAGTTAACCAAGTAAAAACCAATTATAGTTAACCATATAAAATATATTTAAATAAATAATTACCGCTAAATGTTGTAATACGGTGTCCTGTATTGCAGGAGAAACTTTTTTCCAAGTTCATTTATCAAAAGGGACCATGTGCCACATTGTTTTTCCAACTTCTCAGGAAAACATGTCTTTCGGCTCTCCTACGCGATCAAATGTGATATCCCTATCATATTCCATGCTAATCGGTTTGCTCTGGTTCCGTAAGATCGCTTTTTCAAGCTTTATATTTTTCACTTTGCCTCGAACTTTCCTTCGTGCACGTTGCTCAACTACAAATGTAATTAAAAATTATTAGAAACGGTATTTAATTTATAATAACTGAACAAAAATAGTAAATAAAAATTCATAATAAGACTTACCGTCCTGCTCGTGATGACCAACACCTCTACCACCTGGGAGAGGTGGGTCCTCAGCTCCATCACCCACGTGTCCACGACCCATAACAGCAGCAAACAGAATGAAAATGGGAAGAAATGAGCAATCTGCGTGCGTTTTTTTATCTGCGAGAGCCTTTAGCGGCGACGATTTTAGCAGCGAAAACTAGGGCTTTTCCGGCGACACAAGTCAATAGCGGTGACAATCTGGAGGGAAGGGTACCGCGTCATTTTTTAGGTAACTATTAGCGGCGACTTTTTAGACTTTTAGCGGTGACACAAATGTCGCCGGTATTAGGTTTGTGCGGATAAGGGACCCCAACCGTTGGATTAGATAGTTGATCGAATGGCTGAGATCTAACAGACGGGGCAAATGCGGATTCGGGTGATAAGCCTTTAGCAGCGACACTATTACCGGCGACATGGACTTTTAGCGGCGACAAAAGCATTTGTCGCCGCTAAAAGTCCATGTCGCCGGTAATAGTGTCGCCGCTAAAGGTCGATATTCTTGACGTGATATATATATATATATATATATATATATATATATATATAGATATATATATATATATATATATATATATATATATATATATATATATATATATATATATATATATATAGAGAGAGAGAGAGAGAGAGAGAGAGCTAGGTTCAGGTATTTAAAATAATTATTGTATTATTGTATGCATAAATGTGGGTCAATCAAAATTAAATAAAAAATTAAATAATTAAATAAATAAATAAATAAATAAGGGTAATTTAGTAATATGATTAATAACTTCCAAAAATAATCCCTATAATCATGGTATTGACTTTTAACCTAATTTCTCCAGGTTTATATCTAATTGACTTTTTCTAACCCTAAATTTATCCCCTTCATAAATCGGCCTCACACCCTTGATTTTTTTGTAGTTGATCTTGAAAAAGACAGTCTTTTTTTTCTTGTTCATTTGCATGCGTATTTGTTAACGGGTAATGTAAAGAGAAATCGTCAGTTGATTTTGATACAAACAGTGTTTTATCAGACTGGACGTCTACATCGACGTCGTCGGCGTGTTCATGGCGGGGCGTGGTTTGTTCGAAAGACAGCCGCGTCACCGCCGTCAATCTCACCGGTGGGTATCTCTCCGGTACACTCAACCTCTCTGATCTCATGTCGATTTCCACTCTTACTGATATTTATTTCGCCGGAAACTATTTCTCCGGGAACCTTTCTTTCTCTTCTTCTTCCTGTTCGCTTCAAACAATTTATTTATCGGCGAATAACTTCTCGGCGACTGTAGATGTTCAGTCGTTGTTTCTGTCACGCTTAATTTCTCCGGTAATAAGTTCGTCGGAAACCTTCCGAGCACTCTCGCTTCTTGCAAGTACCTTTCATCTTTATATTCAATTCAGAAACATCTCCATATTCATCGCATAATCTTTGTTCTTGTTTCTCAATATATCTTGGCAACTCCAAAAAGAACTCAAATATGATGTTTGGTAATTGATATGGATTTTTTGATGTTGCTGTGATTTAAGTTTTGATGTTGTTGTGATTTTGATAATTTTTTAATGTTGATTATTTTCCGATTGTATGCTATTATGAATTTCTGATTGCATATGTTTGCTAAATTGTTATTATATTACTGTGATTTAATTTTTGATGTGGCGTTCGCTCTTATTTCTTTTCAAATAGATTATGTTTTTGATTTCTGTTCTGATTTCTGAAACAGACTAGAAATGGTCATTGGATAGTTCTTGATGAACTTAATCTCGCCCCTTCTGATGTTCTAGAAGCATTAAATCGGTTTGTGTATTTTATACAATTCCAATTCTATCGGAATGGAATCACGAATTCAAATTCTATCGGAATGGAAACACGAATTCTAATTCTGTTGGAATGGAATATGAATATTTTCTCATTGATTATACATGTTCTACAATTTTTGGTTATTGGTTTTGGTGCAGTTAACAAGTCCGCATATTTTTCCAAAAGAATATAGTTTTTTATTTATCATTTGCTAATGCGTTATTGGATTCTAAACTACAATCGGATTTGTTTTCACAGAAGTTGATGCTTGAAGAACGGACAACAAAATTAAAAGTGTTTCTTAGCAACATTATTCTTTTAGAATGAATTAGTGTATTTGTTAGATTTTGATGTTTTTTTTTTCCCGATTTGAAAGTTTTTTAGTTTTATTCTTTAACAATAAATGTAATTTTTAACAATTGTTACATGTATTCTATAAGAATTAATGTAATTTTTGTTTTAATTCTTCAATTACTGGTTCGAGAATTTGTTATTCTACAAGAAATTTTTAAAGTCATGATCAAGAAATATGTTCAAGAAAATTTTTATTATTTTATTGTTCTAGAATATTTTTATTTTTAAACATACTCAAACATATTCTGTCAGAATGTCCGAATTAAAAACCTTATAATTAGTAAAAATCGGATTTTTAAAAGTAATAGATACTATGATTCCTTAAAATATGCAAATTTACTTTATTAAATCTATATGAATTGACTAAATACCCTTCTAGTTAAATTGGATGATATTTTTCAATTATATTTAATTCAATAATATGTATTAATCATTTTCTTAAAATATATAAAATGATTGGCCCACATTTATGTATACAATAACACAATATATATATATATATATATATATATATATATATATATATATATATATATATATATAAAAGTTAAGTTTCACTTATATAGGACCCTCATCGATGTTTGCGAAGCCCAAATGTAGGTGGCTTACTACCAAAGAACCATAACTTAATTAGGTGAACAACAATTTCAACCAAACCCCATTTCAGCTCAACCCCTACCAAACCTATTTTGTCTATAAAACCCAACAATACTGGGCCACTACCAAGCATTCAACATAAAGATCAATACATACAGCTCACAAAAGAAAAAAGAAAGAAAACAATGGCAGACGAGAGAGCTGGAGCCGAGATCGTGTACGGTGCTGAAGAATGTCATCGCCATTCCATTGATCTCCTTGAAGAACTCGGTTTCCCAAAAGGCGTTCTCCCACTCAAAGATCTTGTGGAGTGTGGGAGAGTTCGTAAAACCGGTTTTGTTTGGATGAAGCAAAATGGTCCATATGAACACTTTTTTGAGGAGACTAATACACGTGTTAGCTATGCAACTGAAGTGACGGCCTATATTGAAAAATATAAGATGAAGAAAATGACCGGAGTTAAAAGCAAACAACTGTTGATGTGGGTGCCTATTGTTGAGATGAGTATGGAAGATGAAAAAAGTTCCAAGATTTACTTCAAGATACCGGTTGGAGTTGGTAAGTCCTTCGCGGTGACTGCATTTATGACCGACGAAGAAAAAAAGAAATATCTTCTTGAGCATTCAAAGTAAATGAGGTTTAAGTTATATTATCATCAGTGTCTTCTTATATTATAATTTTATGTAAGCTGACATTTTTATTACATTTGAGAATCATACATATATACGAAACTTTATATTATGCAATTCAATAAAAAGTAAACAATTAGTTGGTTCGGTGAATGGATATTACTTTAATACCATTGTATTTGCTATAATACAAATATTATATATATATATATATATATATATATATATATATATATATATATATATATATATATATAGAGAGAGAGAGAGAGAGAGAGAGAGAGAGAGAGAGAGAGATTGTGTGTATATGTAACACCCTATTTTCGTACTAGGTACATCCCATAAATTTCATTATTTACAATCCTATAAAACATTTTGGCGTACACTTGCACACTCGAATACAATGAGTTATCACCGGGAATCGTACTCGATTCCTAACATTAAGTACTTGATCCGAGTCGGACGCTACAACAACCTAACCTACAACACAGCAACAACAACATATACTATCACACAACACTCGTAGTAATTTTCACTACTTAACTGCTATTTAACAATTATAGTTAACATATTTGAATATCACCAAATACTCGACTTACGGCTCAACGTAAACGCTTCCGCTACGCCACTCTTGTTTTACATCAAAGATCTACACGAAGTAAGTATTTTCTTGTGGCACCAATAAGACTTGCCAATAATCATCCACAGTTACAACTCACCTCTTTGGATACACACCATCCAAGGACAAACATCAACTCGTATGTATAACATTTTATATTTAAACCCCCCCCCCTCCCCCACACACAGAGACACACACACATACATACTACTACACTAGCTTACTATCGTAAGGTACATAATAGTACACAACACTCCGCAACTAATACTCCCAACTACTACTATTATTACTACTGGGTACTCGATTTGTAGTCGATTTGTAGCTTACTCCAATGCCATGTGTAAATAATATATGGCTCATATTGATTCTAATTAAATACACATAATCGATATATTTGGTAGTACATCAAAATTTTCACCAAATATAAATATTCGGTGTTACCTACATTGGACATTACACTACCAAATCATCAAATTCAAATATTTGTTGCCATATGCATTGGATATATCACTAGATCATCAATAAATATCGGTTGCCACATGCATTGGATATATCATCGGTAAATCATCTATAAATTTTTGATGGCATCCGTATTGGATATCAACCAACAAATCACAAATAAATATGAATTGCCACTTGCATTTGATATTAATCAAAAGTCAGCAACAAATATTTGTTTTTATCCGCATTGGACATTAACCAACAATCACCAATAAACATTTATTGCCATCCGCATTGGATATTAATCAATAGTCGACCTACCTCACCACTAACTATCAAAATCTATTGTCTATTCAACTCTATCTAACTAACTTAACTCCACCAAGTTACTCGAACTTCACATTGTCAACTCCAACAACTAAGTATTAACATCTAATCAACACTTTGGTGACTTAGCAACTTGACACATCTTACATCGTAAATCACTCTCGTATGCATCACACACAACAACATATCTCGTCGTAAATCTCCATAAATTATGCATCGCGATCTTATTCAACCGTTTTTAACATCATATTTTTCGGAGTCGCCGAGTACAACTTCAGTCGTGTCGTGTTCTCTACATTAAGTTAGAGCACCACAATTCATAGCCATGTCGTGGATACCTCATTTTCGTGTCGTGATCAATAAAGTATATTGCTATTTTATATTCTTCGTCATGATGCGTATCTCCAACAGTAACACTGTGAATTTGCAATAGACATAATTTTTCGCCAAACTTTAAAAACATCTCCCTGACTCTTCAAGTACGAGTAGTACCATAAACTTCAAATTTATCCCGAAATTCTTATTAGTATAGAGTAAAAATACTCCTAAGTATTACCACTATCGAATTTCTCCACGCCGCAAAGTACTCTACAATACACACCATAACATGAACCACAACATGCACTGCAACATTCATCGCGACATAATTCGTAAGGAAAAAGTACTCTGCAATATACACCATAACATGAACCACAACATGTACTGCAACATTCATCGCAACATAATTCATAAGGAATTATATGCATATATATATATATATATATATATATATATATATATATATATATGTGTGTGTGTGTGTGTGTGTGTGACAATCGGTAAACTTAGGTCAAAGTTCGTCGGTCAATTCACAGTGAACACACAATGTAATGAGACCAAATGTATTATATTCCACACATTTAATGTAATAGAAGTTTTTACACTTAGAAATATATATGGAATACCATTTTAGACTTTGATGGATCTAGATCGTTGATAAACAAACACTATTCACAATACTTAAGTAATGAGTTAATGCATTAAAAATAAGATATATGTATTAAGTATTATTAAGTACAAATAACACTCCAAGAAGATAGAGCATGAGAACACAATTCCATAGATATATAGAACGTTGAATACGGATACCGTACGCGAACTGTAATTTCAAGGACATCGAACTTGTGTTTTCGAAAAAATATGAGATGTCATTTTTCGTCGGAAATTTTCACGTGGATCGAGAATGTAACACGTGTCACCATTAAAGAATGATGATACTTATCAGTTATCACTTATAGGGTGGATCCAAGTGTCAAAATCTTGTGGACCTTCTCCTCCTACAAATAGGAGAGGGGAGGCCATTTTCTCTGTATACCATCTCTCTCTCCCTCTCCCTCTCTCTCTCAGCTCGTGTTTTCGGCCACCAAAACCGTCAGTCGCCACTGGAGCTACAACAACCACCTACTACTGCCATTGCTCCCCACCGAGAGCCCTCCCTCCAACAAGCATCCCTTGCCGACACACACACACATCTATTTAGACTATACATATATTTGGAATTGTTGGGTTTACGTGGGTTAAAACCTGGTTTTTACTTAATATACATTCGTTATGTTGTCCGATTTTTGTTAGAATTTTTGTACAGTTATTAAGAATGGTCGAACCTTTTGTCTAGTGCCTTTACTACTTAAAACTTAAGGCACACAAACACTCACTTTTAGATCTGTTGAACTCAAGGAGTGTCACACCCCCGGCCAGCGGCGGAAACGTTGGGATGTGCGACGTTAGAACGTTGGATAATAGATATTAAACATACATTGAGAAATACAAAACAATATATAACATATACAATCACTTCCATTATGGATAAAAATATTACATCAGAATATGTTTCTGAAATACTATGATTTCTAATACAAAAGGTGCCTTGAAAGTTTGGCATAACTATAACGATAACAAGTCTTCGATATCATCGTTGATCAACCACTGCTTCCGGGAGTGCAATCTTCCATTTCTCGGTTTCCTCTAAGTACATGTGGTTTTGAAAGGTCAACATAATGTTGGTGAGTTCACATATTTTTATACTTTGAAAAATACTCTTTATACATAGCTTTGTTAAGTATTAAACGTATTTTGATTTCTTGATTTTAAAATAGTATTATACTATTCATAGGTACTAGGGTTTCTGTAATTTCATTCATCCTATATACTATTAGTGTATGCATATCTTAGGACTATACTTAAGGAAATGAGTGCTTTGAAGAGCAGGTTAACTAAGAGTGAACTCAATGTAGGTTAGATGGATACAGTCCAATCTTCAGTTATATAACTGTGTACTCATGACATAAATAGAGTTTCGATGTTTCATTGTATAATTATAAATAATATATAATTATTTTAAATAGATATCCTGAGTAAAGACAAACTGGAGGAGTAGCGATATAGCCATTATTAGGGTTGAGTGATAACATAATATATCAGTATTATTTGTTTGGATACAGCGTAGTGACGAAGTAATATACTACTATTATTCGTTTGAATTTGGTGTAGTGACAGCCTAATATACAACTCATATCCGTTTAAATCGAGCGTAGTGAAGACATGATATACTAATCTTATCCATTTGAATTGAACGCAGTGACGACATAATACACTACTATTATCTGTTTGAATTGAGTGTAGTGATGGCCTAGTATACTACTAACATTCGTTTGAATTGAGCGAAGTAACGACATAATATACTACTATTATCCTTTTGATTCTAGCATAGAGACGGTGTAACATACTACTATTATCCGTTTGAATTGAGCAAAGTAACGACATAATATACTATTACTATCCGTTGAAATATTCAGTAGAGTAACAATTAGATATAATGTTATTACTTTGGCCAACACTAGGTACTATGTTACCCTAGAGGAATAGCCTAGCATAATAATTATGTACATTACTATTCTTTAGATTTGGTCAGCTCTAGGTAGTATGTTACCCTAGTGAAATGGTCAGAATAACGATTAGGTACTATGTTACCCTAGTGATTTGATCAGCATAACAAATAGGTATAATATTATTATACATTTTGGGCAGAGTATCCACCACGTATAATATCATCCTATGGTTTGTGCAACATAACGACTAGGCATAATATTACTCCTAAAATTTTTGGCAGGGTAACTACCAAGCACAATATCATCCTAACGTTTCATGCATTTTCTAAACTACTAATATATGCCCCCCCCCCTCCGTTAAACTTTTAAAAACTGGTAAAAGTGAGGCTGTGAACTCACCTTTGTAGCGTGCTTTTATCGGTATTTTCTCCTTGCCGAAAAGTGGTCAGCAGCTCGGGAATGCTGGAACTCGAGGGAAAAAGAGTAAATAATAATTTAAATGTAAAATAAGGAGATTTTTTTCTTTTTAAAAGGGAGTTCTCGAATATGAAGGAGAGAGAGTGTGAAGGAATTGAGTGAGGAGTGAATGGGGTGCTGGGGGGATTTATAGGCTGAGAAACAGGTAGGCGTATCGCGCCCTTCTGGCATGGCTCCATTACTCTCCGGACACGTTTCAAAAACGATTTATGTAGCGTTACCCCCTTCTAGAAGGCATGCACGATGCGCATTGCGCGCTGAGCACGTGCCAA